CGGTAACACCCAGAAACTTAAAACTGGCCACCCGCTCCACTTGGTCTCCAGTGATAACCAGGGGCTGGACATCTAATCTATTCCTTCTATAGTCCACTATAAGCTCCTTTCAAACTGGCATCAAAAGTCTTGAGAGACAAAACTGAAAAGTCTTCAGTATAAAGCCATCTTCCAGCACCACTTTCTGAGTCCAGGCTTCCAGACAGAAATAGTACCAGTTTAGAGCAATAGCATATGCCTATCTCCAATAGCGGGGATTAGAAACTGAAGAGTGTCTGGTAAAAAGAGCAGAGTATTCTTCTTCTTGTTACATCCTGTTGCTGGGTGAAGTATCCAAGGCAGTTTTTCTCCCAGAATCATCAGAACAGGATGATTTGTTCAAATAATTACTTTCCCACAGAAAACCCAAAAACCAAAGTATAACCATGCACTTGAAAGTTTATGAAGAGTTGGACACAAGACAATTTTTAGAAATATCACAAAGGTCAGTAGATTTTATTTAAAAATAAGGTTTTAATTGTAATGTCTTTCAAAATTATAGGAATCTCCTTTTTTCTAGGGGGGCAAGCAGTCAAGATGGGTAAGGAAGATGGTTCAATTATCCACGAAATCAGTCCTTGTACTCCAGGACAACCATCTGAAAGTCACCCATGAAACTTTGACTAGACAATATCAGAGTAATCTCCATTGCTGATCTGGTTTCTAAACTGCAAACCACGTTTTAATGGAAACAATAACTTTTATCTATACATTGTTGTAGATAAGGAGGCCACTCATGATTCTGCCCTGGACAAATTGTAAAAGTAAACTGAGTAAAACCTACTACAGCCCAAATCCTGATAACAAGCACATATTTCTTTCTTGCTGTCTCCAGGTTCTGCTCCCTTCTGCCAACAACAAGGCTACTTTCTGCCAAATGCTTCCCAATGTTTCAAAATATAATACTGTGTTTTTAACATGCTGTGTTTGTGCATTCCTTTTTTCTATCATTTGACTTTTGTCCGCGTGCATGTCTGGACATACAGATATGTAAATTTAAACATATATGTAAAACTATATTTGGAGCTTATGAATACCTCCTCCAAATAAAGTATGTGTGTGTGTATATATTCCTCAAATGTTCAGAATTCCATGATTTTCTGCCATTCTAAATACTGTGAAATGTAACCAGCACATAAAGAGAACATACTGGTATCCTGTTGCTTTATATACATATTACAACCACATTCTCCTCTACAGCTTTGCTGTACCTTCTGGAAAAACTCCTGCTTATGTACACTTCACTTCTTCTCAAAAAGAAGGACTGGGTAAGGAGCCTCCTCCTTTAAGGAACATTGCAATGGCTGGTGCATTTTAGTTGAACAAAAATGCACAAGGAGGACCGAGAGAGAGAGCCACAGTTCTGCTTGGCATGGAGAATTTCTCCCACTCTTGTAACAGCAGAAGCAGGGCAAGGGCAAACTAGGACATTGTGCTGGAGAAGGTGGAGCAGTTTGGACTTCTGTCCCAAGGCAAAGTGCACAGGATTCAACCCCAGCTAACTATTTTGGCACTTGACGGAAAAAGCCCCACCTCTCCCATCCCTGAATCTAAATATGTAGTAATAACAAATTAAATAACAAACAACTTGCTGTCCTTCCACAACCCTGCCATGAAACAACTTCCTGCTTTCCTTTTGGCTTGGAGCCTTCCCATGGGCAACTAGATAGCCTTCTGTAGAGTTACAGCCTGCTCCCTGTATGCTAGGATGGAGACATTTCTAATGTGATTTAAGAGAGCTCTCCTTGTATTCTATTAACGCTGCTCAATTTTTTCTTCTCATTTATTTTGAGAATCTATGCTGCATCTGGATGAAAACAGCCATTGGATGGGCTTACCAGTGACTTTGAACATATTGCTACAAACAGGAACATCATATAGCGAAGGCACTTAAGTGAAGAAGGTTTTATCGTTGTCATTAATCACCACAATCCCAGCAGCACCTAGTATGGCGGGTTTGCCAGACTTTCTGGCAGCATTTAATCTCATGAAAAGTTGTTTCTTGCAGATCTTTCAGTTTGGGGACTGAAATGTTTTCACTTTCTCTCGCCCTTCATGAGCTTGTGAAGGGGAAGGGGGAATCAAGAGTTTTGCTTTTGGGTTTTTTGTTTGTCTTTTAAAAGGCTTCTTTTATGGATAAGATTTAGAGTTCTAATTAAATGCACATGTTAATACCTACTTATTTCCCTGTAATACAAATTGCAAACTGATAATTGCTTCTGGTAACATCTCAGCATTTTCTGAATATGAATATTTGCAGAATTCAGAGGGATTATTGGAGTGGGGAAGAGATCCTTTTTTCAGAAAACTTTATCCTTCAAAACCTGGAAGGTACAATAAGAAAGACCATGTAGTTGGGAGGTAGCCCATCTCCTATCTTTTGGTTTCACAAGTGTTTTTGTTACAGAGAAGAACGGCTTCGGTTTCTTGTTTGTCAAGTAATGCTGTCCGCTGACACTATGAAGCCAAACAAAGATGACAGCTGGAAACAAGTCCTGCAAAAAAGTTGAAAGTTCTCTCACTCTTGTATTTGACACATAGGATAACATTTGACTATTAAAAGTAGGTGGTATATTTATTTCTTGCTCAACTCTAACCTCAATGAAATCATGAGATTTATCCATGCAGAGTAGGGGGTTTGTACAAATTCATGTGAAGTTTCAGGGGGTCACAGTATGGGAGAGTTGGAGAACCTTTCCCTAGGCTGCTCCCCCACCGGCCTCACTGCCACCACTGCTGTTGATGTTGCCTTCCCTTACCCCAACATTCCTGCAAATGGGATGGGAGGGAGGATGCTGAATATGCCAGGGCAAAGACAGTCTGGCAAGCTAAAGAGACTGCCTGTGGAGAGTCTCTGCTGGGTTAGAGGTTGTATCATTTCATTGCTGTCAAAAGCCAACAAGAATCTAACTGAGAGCCAACTGGTGGTAAATGTCATGCCCGGCTGTTTTTATTGTTACCCTCAGAACAACCATGGGAGGCTGCCTGATTTCAGCAGAGGAGAAGTCAAGAAAAGGGCTGTTTACCCTCATATCAAGCTGGTTTTCATCCTTTGGAAAGACAACAAAAATACAATGGAAATATCAGAGTAATGTG